TCTCCATCTCAAAAATGATTTTATATTTTTTCTACATATATGTATATCTACAGATCCATAAGGAACAGATTGTGTTTTACAATTTCTGCTCCCTCTACTTTTAAAACTGTAGAAAAGGAATGAAAACAGTATTTAAGAACATCTGGAGGGGAAGCACGCACCGTTCTGTAACTCGGATACGTTTTCGTACTCGGCCTTGCCGGTGTGTGCACAGAGTTGCAGACAACACCCACACATTCCGTGGGCTTCCTCCCTCCTCTTCGCATCAAACTGCCAACTTTTTTCCACGTTTCCACCTTCAGAATGATGATTTTTAGAGGCTGTAGAATATAGTCATTGATCTATTATTTTCAGCAGGTTGTTTAAAAATTCTCTGGCGGACAAAAAGCTCTCGGTGGCGGTCACCACTTGATGGAAGTGGGGCTCCTTTTACTTTTCAATGTGTAACCTTTTGTGCTGTTTATTTTTGGACCATATACATAAACATGATTTTATTTTAAAAGCAAGTAACATTTTTGGATTAAAAAAGACTTTGCGCCCAGCCACTATGGATCAGTGGTTGAGCGTCAACTCATGCACCAAGAGGTCACCAGTTCAATTCCTGGTCAGGGCACATGCCCAGGTTGTGGGCCTGATCCCCAGTGGGGGGCATGCAGGAGGCGGCCAATTGATGTTCTCTCTCATCGATGTTTCTATCTCTCTCTCCGTCTCCCTTCCTCTCTCTCTAAAAATCAATAATAATAATAATAAAAAAGACCTTGCTCTCTGCAGAAAATAATCCAGAAAGGAGAACCCTTACCTTTCAATGTTGTCAGAAGGTCATTGGACTTGGAGACAGAAAATCTGGATTATACCCCTTGAGCACGTCACTGACTTCATTTCTCTCATCTGAAAAATAGAGTCAGTTTACCTTATTTTGAGGACCTAACCAGTGGTTCTCAATCTTCCTAACGCCGTGACCCTTTAATACAGTTCCTCATGTTGTGGTGACCCCAACCATAAAATTATTTTCGTTGCTACTTCATAACTGTAATTTTGCTATAGTTATGTCTTAGGCGACCTCTGTGAAAGGGTTGTTCAACCCCCAAAGGGGTCGCGACCCACAGGTTGAGAATTGCCGAGTCCTAAACATGTGTCTGCGAGCTCTTGGTAAACTGTAAAAGCACCTGGGTACGGAGGAGAAAGTACCCCATGAAGCAGGATAACGTGTAGGCACCTAGAGACCCAAGGACTCATGTCAGAGCACCCAGGCCAACACGAGCTGGGGCGTGGTAACCCCAGGTACTCCTGGTGCTTTCGGGGTCCAAGGGCAGAGAGAATTCCTCGGAAGTTAGGAGTGACTTATGGGAGGAAGAATTTGTCTTAGGTTTTTCCTGTTCAGGAAGGAGTTTTTCTTAGAATTCTTTATCTGCCCTGTTAGCACTAGGAAAAAGAGTACGTGTTCTAAAAACAAGATGTCTCACAAGTATTTGGAGACTCTGTTTATTAGTTCATCTACTGAATCACACTTAACAGCATTCCACTGTAATTCATAAATGGGGCCCTTCACTGGAAATAACTTTATGAGACAATCTGGAGGCATGGACAGGAGGGGAGGGACGGGCATTAGGCTTACTCATCACGATTTCATGCGGCCCCGTGTGCAGACTCAGGGAGAAGTGGCCATTTCACCCTCCGCAGGGCTAAGGTGCAGCTGGGACTCCTCTTTCGGCCGCTGCAGAGGACAGGGTGGAACAGGTCCAGGACCTGGGAAGGAGATGCTTTCCTCAATGGCAGGACGTTCCCACTTCCAGCCACAAAGAGGGTCACAAGCCCCACTCTAAAGATGAGAGCACAGACGTGGAGAGGCGCCGTGTTTCATCCGGTCACTGGGGCCTCCGGTGGCAGCGCTGGGGTTCAAGTCCAGGTCCTGCACTGCCAGCCCTGAGGTTGGGGTGGGTTCTCTTTCTCAGTCACCATGTCTCTCCCTACTCCTGCTCCTGCCTCTTCTCCACCAAGTAGCACAATGACACGAGGTCCCTTGGGGCTAGAGGATCTGTAGGGGACCCAAGGCACGGGGTCCTCAGGAGGTCCTTCTGGGGGAGGAGGTCATGCATCACACAGGCTTGGAGTTGGTGTGAGACAGGCTCTCAGACAACGAAAAGGCAGGAGGTCTGGTTGGTGGGGACCTGAGTCGCCGGAGGGCCCTGAGGAGCTGCAAGAGGGCAGGGAAGGGAAGGTAAAAATAGAGAGGAGGATGCCCTGGGCAGTTTGCTCCATGGTTGGAACATCAGTCTGTGGACCAAAGAGTCACGGGTTAGATTCTGGTCGAGGGCAGGTACCTTGGTTGCAGTTTGGTCCCCGTCCCTGTTCGAGGTGGTGTGGGAGACAACCAATCAATGTGTCTGTCTCACATCCATGTTTCTCTCTCTCTTTCTCCCTCCCTCTCACTCTATCTGAAGATAAATAGAAAACTATCCTCAGGTGAGGATTTAAAAAAAAAGGCTAGAGAGGAGGAACAAGGGTACCATTTCCCAGGGCTTTTAATGGGTGGCCCTGTACATGCCCTGAAATGTATTAGGTTTTATGCAATAAAACATCTTGTCCATTGCATCTAGGGGAAGTCTAGTTTCTTTCCTACCTAGAGATTTGAAAACAGAAGATTCACCTTGATCCATAATCCAGCGGTTTTCAACCTGTGGGTCGCGACCCCTTTGGGGGTCCAATGACCCTTTCACAGGGGTTGCCTAAGACATAACAGTAGCAAAATTACAGTTATGAAATAGCAACAAAAATAATTTTATGGTTGGGGGTCACCACAGCATGAGGGACTGTATTAAAGGGTCACGGCGTTAGGAAGGTTGAGAACCACTGCCTTAATCCTATCATTCCTGGTAGTATTTTGGAGATGCCATGAAAATTCATTTTGTGTGACTCTGGCGCTCTCTACTGGTATAAATTAGCAACTGCACCATCCCACCAGGTAGAAGGTTCTTTATGGGACTCAGTGAAGCAGGGAGGAGAAAAAGAACTGTATCAAGAACTGGTGAAGCCCGGTCCGTGTGACTCAATGGATTGAGCATGGTGCGGTGGACTGAGACGTCCCAGTTCGATTCCCAGTCAGAGCACAGGCCCAGGTTGCAGGCTCCATGATCCCCAGTGGGGGGCATGCAGGAGGTGGCCAATCGAAGTTTCTCTCACACATCGATGTTTCTATCTCTATCTCTCCCTTCAAATCAATCAATCAATCAATCAATCAATCAATGAGAACATATTAAAAAAAGAACTGGTGAATTCAGGGGTGAAAAGGGAACAATCCTCTCTCAAGTTATATGAGCTTATCTAGATAAAACCTCCTAGCCTTGGCCAGTTTTGCTCAGTGGTTAGAGCATCAGCCCGCGGTCCAGAAAGACCCGGGTTCGGTTCCTGCTAAGGGCATGTACCTTGGTTGCAGTTTGTCCCCGGCCCTAGTTGGTTGTGTGGGTGTCAGCCACTCGATGTGTCCCTTTCACGTCGATGTTTCTCTCTCACTCTCTCTTCCTCTCTCTCCCTCCCACTCTATCTGAACAAAAAATGGGAAAATGTCCTTAGGTGAGAATAAAAACAAAAACAAAAACCTCCTAGCACCAATCCTGCCATGCAAGAGATTCTTGGTGATGTTCTGGTTGTGTTGGGGTCAAGATAGACTCTGGCCGGAGAGATAAAATTATGATGTTGCTAAACATTCTCTCCACTTCAGGGTGGGGCTGGGGTTTCCCTCCCATGGAACTCTCTAGCACTCAACTTGCTTTTGGAATTACATCTGATAATGATAAACCTTTGCACACTAAGGTGTAAACAGTGGATAATAGCTTAGAACAGAAGTCCACAGGTGCGTTGGGAGGGACCTCAGGCAGTAGTAGTTGTTCCTTGGCAAATGGAGTTCCATAGTTAAATGGGTTTGTGAAGGGTTATTTACCATGTTCTCCTCCTGGGGGTTCACAGTACACACTGTACATTCAAGGTTCAGAGAAGTTGTGTGGTAAAGAAACTGCCTTAACTTTGTTTAATCCAGCATTTCAAAGACTTCTTTGACCATAGAATCCTTTTCTTTTCATGGAATATCTATTATCATCTTACATAAATTTTGTTGGAAAACTTAGGAATAGAGCCCTGGTCGGTTTGGCTCAGCGGTTGGAGCGTCGTCCTGTGGACCAGAGAGTCCTGGGTTTGGTTCCCGCTAGGGGCACGTACCAAAAAGGGGGCATGTACCAAAAAACAAACAAACAAAAAACCAACAACTTAGAAATAGAGCAGGACTCTCGGGCATTGCATTCTTTTATTTTTGTTTTATTGTGGGAGGAACATTTGCATGTGAGCTATCCTCTTGACAGGTTTTAAGTGTGTATACATCATTGTTGACTTCTGGGGGCAGTTACTTACCCGAAACTTTATGTCTATTGATTAATAGCCCTCCATTTTCCCCTCACCCCAGTACCTGGTAATCATCATTCCAGTCTTTGATTTTATAAATGTGGCTATTAGAGATCATATATATTAGAGATCAAATTGTGTAGTACTTGTCTTTCACATTCTTTCTTTTTTTAAATCCTCACCTGAGGATATTTTTCCATTTTTGTTCAGCTAGAGTGGGAGGGAGGGAGAGGGAGAGAGAGAGAAACATTGATGTGGGGGAGACACATCGACTGGTTGCCTCCCGCACAACCCCAACCAGGGCTGGGGATGCACCGCAACCGAGGTACTTGCCTTTGACCAGAATCGAACCCGCGACTCATAGGTCTGCAGGCTGACACTCTAACCGCTCAGCCAAACCGGCCAGGGCGTCTTTCATATGCTTAATTGGGGTTAAAAATATGAATCTTTAATTGTGGTATTTCAGCCAAAGGGCAAGGGGGAGTGGGTCAACATTGGACCCCAGAAATCACAGGCATTGAAAGCTGCTGCTAACCTCTTCAAGCTCACCTCCTGGCTCTGCAGCCAGCTGGTCTCTCCCCCCTAACTCACCTCTCCTTTCCTTCCAGGCAGACATCTTCTCTGGGGCCATATTCATCAACTTAGCCTTGGGCCTGGACCTGTACCTGGCCATCTTTCTCTTATTGGCAATCACCGGCCTTTACACGATCACAGGTGAGTCCATTAAAATGACTCGCTCAGCCCTGTCCGGGGTTAGGCACTTGGGAGGGATGGAAGGAAGCAGGAAACAAGGCTGCTCCTCTGGAGGAAGAGATCCACCCAGGAAACAGTTTGAGGATGGGGGTTTGGCTTGGTTCCAAATCACAGACCCTAGTTATGCAGGTTGCCTCAGAAACACTCCATTGTTGGCTGGAATAGTCCAGACAGCTACTTCCAGGAGGCGGGGCAGGGCGTGGCCTTGCAGGTTGTGGAGAGAACGTGGCTAAGTGGGGAGAATCAGGGAGGGAGTGCCAGGTGCAGGAACAGGTGAGAGCAAGGAATGGAGGCAGGAATGGGCATGACATGGGGCAGAGGCAGGGTGAGCAGCAGATGCCTTTAGCTGGTGGAGGGTGGTCAGTGGGAAGTAGTTGAGTGTGTGTGTGTGTGTGTGTGTGTGTGTGTGATAAGGCCTGATAATTCAAGTAAAGTCACAGGGCAGGGGCTGTAGAAGCCAGACAGAGGCCTTGGATTTGATGTGACAGGGACTGGGAGGCACTGCAGGGAAGAAAGGAGAAAGTAACACATACAAAGAGATTCTAGAGGATGACTCAAGAGGTGATTGGAGAAGCTGATGACACAAGTGACACTTGGGAGCACCTTTGAGGAGGCATACCTCTGCCCCAGTCCAGGGGCCAGGGTCGGTGACCGCGTGCTGCTCAGCTGGAGCCTTATGTGAGCCTCGGGGACAAGAAGTACTTAGATGGTCTGAGAAGAGTCAGCATACACATAGCCATTTAAATGAGTTGATTTGGTAACGTCCCAGACATCCTGTAGAGATGTCCGCTCTTTGCTCTTCCCTGCCTTCATTTGTGGAAGATGCTTTTTCTTACCACAGAGGAGTCATCTCCTGGCTTAAAAGGATCACATGGAGCTCTTCCTCCTTAACTAGGGAGACACATTTCTCCTCTCCTCAAGGTCTTCCCAGCATTTCTGTTAAGAGTGGAGATGTTGGATCATGCTGGGTGGCGGACTGTTATAACAGGACAGGAGAAGGAAGGAAGGGCAGGCGGGTGCCTGAGGGGCAGCAGTGCGGGCAGGAGGCAGGCTGACTGGTTGCTCTCCTACGTGAGGTCAGATATATTGTTTTCTTGTCTGCTTAGGGGGCTTGGCAGCTGTGATTTACACGGACACCTTGCAGACGGCGATCATGCTTGTGGGGTCTTTTATCCTGACCGGGTTTGGTAAGTGGGGCTGGGGCAGACTGAGGAGGTGGGGAGGCAGAGGTACAGGCCCAGGGAGAGAAAATCAAGTCCAGCCACTCTGCCTGCCTTCCCCAGGGGAGTGGTCCAGCCCCGATCGGCCATCACTGTGGGTGTGTGGGGGCACCTCCTCAGCCCTGGAGGTCTCAGGGTGGCCTGGCCCAGACGACACCTGTATTCCCTGTTGCCTTCTCAGACAGTCTGGCCCAGTGGTCCCCACTGTGGGCTGTGATGATGTGGTCTTCTCTCCACAGAGAAACTGGACCAAAAAAAAAAAAAAAGGGATAAGACTAAATACCCATCAGGCTAAATATATTCAACTGTTGTGTCTTAAATCTCAGATTTTATTTTGTCTACATTTTGGTGTTAAATGTCCTTTCTTTTATGAATTGATGACAGTAAGTAATCATTTTCTTGTTTATGTCCTAATTTGACAAAAATTTAAGACTCAGACACCCTGTATCGGCCCCTCCACCCCCAAATTATGTAAAATTTTATCTGTCTGTGAAATTCTAAAGATAAGGCTAGAAACCCTGGTTCTAGAGGTACTTGTTATGGGAGGATATAAAATGCATTTTGTTTTGAAGAGGGCCCAGGTTCTCTGTGTGTCCTGATAAGCCTCTTTTCTGCTTTCTATACTCAGTTTTCTGAGAGCTGGTTTCCCAGCCATCACTGGGGGGCGGGCAGGGCAGGGACTGGAATGCCTTATTCAAGGACACAGTCGAAAGTGGCAGGGTCCAGACGCCTCACCCATTCTCTGTCCATCCCTCCACATGGCTGGGACGAGGGCTGCTACGGCCTGTTGTGTGTGTTTCTAGGTCTGTGTCTGGGGTCCCAAAGGCCATGCTGACAGTAGGGGGTAAAGGGAGAAACAGGGTTTTTGAACCCGGTTCAAAACCAAGGTCTTTCTTTTAGTAATTCAAATACCTTCCCTTTGCAAAGATGTTCATGGTTGGAGTCCTTTCGCAGCTTGTTGCTTGGGATCCTCGCAGTAGTCCCTGAGGGGGCTGGGCAGGGTTACGGATGAGAAAGCTGAGGCCCAGAAAGTGGCTTGCTCAAGACCACACAGGGAGGGCTGTGGCTGGGGGTCAGGTCCTCTCCATTTCTCAGGCATCCCCAGGAGCAAACTGCTGTGAAGAGTTGAGAGTTTTGGGATGTTGATTTTTATTACTGATGTTTTTCAGCTTTTCATGAAGTGGGAGGGTATGAGGCCTTCATGGAAAAGTACATGAAAGCCATTCCAACCGTGGTTTCTGATGCAAACACCACCATCAAAGAGGAATGCTACACCCCAAGAAACGACTCCTTCCACATCTTCCGAGACCCCCTCAAGGGAGACCTGCCATGGCCCGGGCTCATCTTTGGGCTGTCCATCCTCGCCCTGTGGTACTGGTGCACAGATCAGGTACCCCTGCTGGGTGCGCAGCGTAGACTACATCTTCTGGGTGCTGCAGGGACTCGTGTCTGTCTGTGGCTTGTGGGGTTGGGAAAGGTAGGGCAGGGCTCATGTGATCTGGGGGTCACTGAGCCTTGGTAACATGAGAGGGCCAGGCCAAGGACCCAGGATGTGGGGGAGGGGAGCTGGGGTGGCCAGAAGGTGTCACGACCTGCACCTCACCAGGCTTTCCCCGGCAGGTCATTGTGCAGCGCTGCCTGTCAGCCAAAAACATGTCTCACGTGAAGGCCGGCTGCGTGATGTGTGGGTACCTGAAGCTGCTGCCCATGTTCCTCATGGTGATGCCAGGAATGATCAGCCGCATCCTGTACACAGGTGATACCTTGTGCTGGGCTCAGTGGCCACTCCCCCATTCCTGGCTCCAAGCCAGTTCTAAAGCCCTGTAGCTCCCTGCTCCTTCCTTTTTGCCCCCCCCTTCTTTGCCTCGCATTACCAAGCATCACTGATCTCCTCTAGACACAGAGCCCCTCGAGGTCACAGAACCCATGGACTTGCCTTCCCTGGTGTCTGCAAATTCTCTGAAGTCATGATAGGCCTCCAGCTGTAGCTCTTCCAGCTCCTAGTTGCTCACTCCTTGCTCAGTCCCACGCAGGCTGTCACAGTGCGTATCAGGTCCTTAATGTCCAAGGACTCCAGCCAGTCTCTCATTGCCTGCTGCTCCGGGCCCTGTTTCCGGTCGTGTCCTTGAAGGAGCCCTGAGTCCCGCACTTTGTTTTCTAGGGTGACAGATTCTTTCTAGGTCCTTTTGGGGCCTCTCCAGCATTGTCATTGCATTTACCCCCCTTTGATCATCCGTCATAGGTTCAAACTTTCCTAGAACGACATAATGGCAAAAAAAAAAAAAAAAAAAAAAAAAAAAAGGAAAGAGAGCACCACGGAGGGAAAGCTTGGCAGCAGCGTCCGACCCGAGGGCCAGACAGCCGGGCATCTGCTTCCTCCGGCTGCTGCGCCTGCTCTCACGCGCCACCCCGGCCCGCCTGTCCCGAGAAAACACACTCGCTGCGTGGTTTACGTTATAATGGACACAACACAAAAACATTTCAGATAAATCAGTGCTATAAGGGGCAGCCCTAAATGATGCACCTGTAGTAGGTGCCTGATAAATGTTTGCTGATCTGAATTCTAGAAAAGTTTCTAGAATGTTCTCCAAGTCTTTAGATCGTGTTCCTTTCCCCTCCCAGGCCACCTCCTTTCTACCTCTACCTAGATTGTCCACATCTTGGAAGTATGAGCCAACAGCCCTCGCACTGGGGAATTTCCTCAGCTGTCTGAGCGTTTAACCCTACTTTCGAGAGCCGCTTAAAATAAGCTTCAGAATCAGGAGCCGCGAGGCACTGACAATCGGCGAACAAGACAATGTTGCTCTGGAGCTGCAGGGTCGCTGAAGTCTCAGGAGCGTGCCTGTCCCTTCCCACTCTACGCGTTTCTTTGCTTTCTCCTCCTCTAGGGACTGTGTTTCCTGCCCTGTCAAAGCCTGGAGATGGTCAGGACCAGCAGGGCAGGGGCATGGCAGCGAAGGGCTATTTCAGGGCCTCCGGCAGGCATGTCTTGTTTGAAGCCTTCACTTAAGAACGTGAACCTTGAAAGTATTTTCCCGATGCCTGCTTGCTGACGTGGCTCTTCATCTCTCTCCAGAAAAAGTTGCCTGCGCCCTCCCCTCGGAATGCGAGAAACACTGCGGCACCAAGGTGGGCTGTACCAACATCGCCTACCCGACCCTGGTGGTGGAGCTCATGCCCAATGGTGAGGCTCGTCCCCGCCGGGGGGTCTTTCTTGGGAGGCCGATTGGCGTGGGCTGTCCACGGATTGTGTGGGCCTTCTGGGCAGAGCCATTCCCTAGCCGGAGGTCAGTAGGGAAAACCTCATTCCAGGTGTCTCAGGGTTTGAACATGTCTTCCCTTAGTGGGAAGGGACACAGGGCTCGGCTGGCTCTCGGACCTGGCACGTGTCTGCCGGTCAGGCTTGGAAAGGAGACGCTCTGAACACATGTTAGGGAAAAACGGCCTTTCCGTGCTCATCAGAAGGTGCTCCGAAGCTCTCCAACGGACATTGACGCGGTGGCTTGGACTAAGTGGAGTTTTACCTGGAGAATAAATTGACTTCTAGACGGTTCCAAGGACAAAGATGGAGAGAAAGGCAAGGAGTGCTTTCAGCTCTAGGATGAGGACATTCGAGTCAGTGGATGGATGGGATCCAAGGGAACTTCTGACTATAGACGTGTTATCCTAGAAAATTGAGGACATAGAGTCCAGGTTAGAGTTTTGGGGTAGACCTGTGGGTTATTTATCATATTTCATATTGAAGAAAAATTGATTCTGGCTCAAGAGATGCAAATTTAGTTAGATTAGGGGGTCTCAGGAGATCAAACATTTTATTTATTTTTTTATCTTCACCCGAGGACATTTTTCCATTTTTTGTTCAGGTAGAGTGGGAGGGAGAGAGAGGAAGAGAGAGAGAGAGAGAGAAACATCGACGTGAAAGGGACACATCAAGTAGCTGCCACCTGCATGACCAACCAGGGCTGGGGGACAAACTGCAACCGAGGTGCATGCCCTTAGCGGGAACCGAACCCAGGTCTCTCTGGACCGCAGGCCGACACCCTAACCTCTGAGCCAAACCGACCAGGGCTCAAACATTTTAAATAAACTTCTATAAAATTTTTTTGCTAAAAGAAAATCTAGAGATCATCTAATCAAACATCTTCATTTTCCCATCTTCAGTTGGGAAAACTGAGGCCTACAGAAGGAAAGTGACTTTTCCAAGCCATGCAGCAATTCAGTGTCTGGCTTGTGTAACTCTGCTCAAGGCGGGGACTGAGGAATCTGAGATGGTCATAAACAAATTTTAAAACCACATACTGGATGCATGACCTTGGGCAAACCATTTGGATTCAAATTCTACAAACATGGGAGTAATAGTTAACTATTCCACTTAGCTGGGCTGCTTATTAATTAAGGTTGCAATTAATAAGAGTCACATGACCCTTTTAGAGTTCTGGCTTGGATTACGCTGGCCTCTGTATGGTGTTTATGCCACTTCTTAGATTAGCAGACAGACCGTGGGTGGGGACTGGCTCTGCCCGTCGGGCTGGCGTGGACCGTGCATGACAGAAGGAGGGTGATGCCCAGGATCGTGTCTGAGGCTCTGTAGAGGCAAATATCAGACTAGTGAGGACTGTCCAAGAGGGAGCAGACTCCCTGTGGGGTAGTGGATTTCCTGCTGCTGAAGGGTTTGGGCAGAGAAAATGTGGCAGGGATTCATGTATCAGAGAGATGGTAGGACTAGATGAGCCCTACATTGACTTTTAATTCTGAGACGGTGCTCTTAATGGTGGGCCCTCAGCGCAGCCTGGTCTTCCAGCCTCATCAGGGTCAACCTTGGGCTCCCCTTGGTATGAAAAGAGCTGTAGTGATTATAGCCAACCATGCTTTTCATGACTAGGAAAAATTTTAAAACAGCAATCCCTTATTCTGACTTGGGCAGGCATAGCATTACCCTGATTTAACACAAGCAGAAATGGGGCCTACAGGTTGGCATAACTTGCCTAGGATCAGTTGGAAATAGAGTCTTGTTTTTTCATTTTCTAGACAACTTTACTGAGTTATAATTCACATACCATATGATTTGCTTAAGGTATACAATGAATGGTTTTTAGCATATTCACAGAGTTAAGTAACCATCATCATAATCAATTAAAATTTTTTTGGTCACCCTCCAAAGAAATCCTATATCCCTTGGCAGACACTCCATGTTTTATCCCAGCCCCCCAGCCTTCGGCAGCCACTAATTTCCTTTCTATCCCGATGAGTTTGCTTATTCTGGACATTTCATCTAAATGGGATCATGTAATATTTGTCCGTTTGTGACTGGCTTCTTCTACTTAGCATAATGTTTTCACGGTTCATCCAGATGCAGCAGCAGGTATCAGTACTTCATTCCTTTCTGTTGATGAATAATATTCCATTGCACGGATACTGCATTTTGTTCATCCATTTATCAGTTGATGGACATTTTATTATTTCTACTTTTTGGCTATTATAAATGATACCAGGTTTCTTTATTAATTTTTAGAGAGAGAGGAAGGGAGAAGGAGAGAGAGTTGGGAACATCGATGAGAGGGAACATCGATTGGCCGCTTCCTGCATACTCTCCACTAGGGATCGGGCCCACAATCTGGGCGTGTACCCTGACCGGGAATGGAATCAGCAAGCAGTGGGAGGCATGCGAGAGGTGGCTAGTCGATGTTCTCTCTCCTCGATGTTTCTCTCTCTCCTTCTCCCTTCCTCTCTCTCTAAAAAAAAATCAATAAAGAAAAAAAAATTATAGCTACCCTAGTGGGTGCAAAGTAGTATCTCGTTGTGGTTTTGATTTGAATTTCCCTCATGTTGAGCATTTTTTCATGTGATTATTAACCACATGTTTATCTTTTTGGAGAAGTGTCTATTCAGATCCTTTGGCTATCTGTAAATGAATTGTCTTTTTATTATTGAATTGTAGGAGTTTTTTGAAAATATATTCTGTATACTAGATCCTTACTAGATATGTTATTTGGTAATATTTTCTTCCATTCTATGGATTATCTTTTCACTTTCTTGAATCCTCATTTAAATATTTATGCTATGTTATGAATCTTTTGGGTGAGAGATCTTATAAAAGTCCCCTCAGATGAAAACACCCCCTACACACCCACACACCCACACCACATCACCACCACCACCATCGTTATCATCCAACTGGAAAGTGTTGACCTCATATATATTTTGTCCCTACTTCTTTGTTGCCTGCTATGGGTTTACAATATACTGTAAAGCCACAGCCCGTTCCTTAAAATGTCTAGTCTTTCTGGAGATAAATCAAAGGCCAACCATGGCATGATTTCAGAAGGCTAACAAGCAAGTCCTCACACATTCCAAGTGCAAAAGAGCAGAGGTGCTGTGTGTACCACTCAGAACCCCCTTCTTTTCCAGGACTGCGAGGCCTGATGCTGTCAGTCATGTTGGCGTCTCTCATGAGCTCCCTGACATCCATCTTCAACAGCGCCAGCACCCTCTTCACCATGGACATCTACACCAAGGTCCGGAAGAGAGCAACTGAGAAAGAGCTCATGATTGCAGGAAGGTAAATGTAGCTTCCACTTGTCATGCACCAGGGAAGTTTGAAAAATTATGGAGGTTCCCTCAAGGAAGGGAAGACTGGTAGATCCTTGGGTAGATTGGGAGTGACCTCGGTGGCTAGTTATATTTGCCTTCCAGAGGCATCAGTTTTAAATTGAAGACCATAAAACATTTCCCATCTGGAGTGAGAAGTGACATAATGGATCATCTAACCTAACCCTTAATTTATCAATGAGCAATAGGAGGTTCATCCTGCCTACACCTAGGCAGCTGGGACAATAGCAGAACCAGGACTAGAACTCATGGCCAACTGAATCCCTGTCTAAGGTCTTTTAAACTACTCCATGTTGTCCTCCTCGGCCCTCCACACTGCCCCTCTCCTTACTGGCTATCTTTGAGGTCCAGATGCCTCCAATGCCTTGACCCTTTGCTGCAACATTTTGCAGGACCATTGGAAGTGTCAGGTGGTACTGTGCTTGGCAACATGCTGTGTAAAATCTAAAACACCAGCCTATTTGTTATTGTCAGTGGACTAACGGACACAACAGGATGTGGAAAGCAGTAAGTGCTGACATGGGTCAGGTGTGCTCACTATCAGGATTATCCACGGATCAGATGGTCTGAATAGAAGGCCAGCAGGAGCTCTGCTACGTCGTCGCTCCAAAGGGCTATGGCAGGCCAACCTCCTCAGGGCACGTGGAACAAGTCCCTGGATGTCAGTCAAAGGAAAGATTCCCAGTGAGTGCAGGCAAGGTGAGGGCTCCACCTCGAATGTCTCACGGTCAGATTAGGGCAAAGGAAGGAAAGGAAAACTGACAGGTCACCCTCAGGTGACAAAGCATCTGGCATTCAGGAGATGTCTGGCCAGGTGAGAGTCTACTTCCTACGAATGAGAATATTCACAGGAAGCAACACCATTACCTTCACTATTTTTTTTTTTTTAAGAAAAGAATTTACTAGCTTTTTATGTTATTTATAAAGGTCAAGATGCAACACGGGAAGAGAGCCATTTTGTTGCTTTGCTCAGGGCTGGACTCTTGGCCCTGAGATTATGTTTGGGCTTGAGTGTTTATGCATCCCATGACTGCTGCCCCGGCTTGTCCTTGTCCAGATGAGCTCGGTTACATGAAACAATCCCACACTTTGCTGTGGGGGCTGTGAGAGCAATCATGGGCTCCGAGAAGGGAGAGGTGAGTGTGGTATGCAGCAGTCGGGGAGGGCTCCGGGGGAGGGAGACCCTTAGCTGAGCCCACAGTGGTGGGTAAGATTTGGGTAAGTGGGGGATGGTGGGAAGGGCGTTCCAGAGGGAGAAACATGTGAGTGAAAACACTGCTTTGTGAAGGTTAGTTTCGGACTTTTTTGCCTTAAATTCAGGTAGGTGGGGTAAGGGAATCACAATCTCTTTCTAATTAAATCAAGAACACAAGTAAGAGGACTTACAAGGGAACCCTCCAAGCTTTCAGGATTTGAAGTGAAACTTAATTGGAGGAGAAGAAGAAATACCTGGTAGTGTCCCTTTCTATCTAGACCATTCCTTTATAAACCCTTCTTGGCTTATGGTTTTAACTTTATTATGAAGAAGAAGGAAGAGGAGAAAGAGAAGGAAAAGAAAATCATAATTATAGTCTTCACTATTTATGGAGTGCTTACTATTTACTAATCTATTTGCCTGCTCATTGTTTTTCTATAGCTAATCTTATTTCCACCTTGTAAGATCAGTTATATTATTCCCAGTTTACAGATGGAGAAATTGAGACTCAGAGGTAAAGCAAGGTGTCCAATGTCACAGAGAGAATAAAACTTTGAGTCAGGACTGCCTGGATTCAAAGTTCATGCCCTTGTCCCTACACTGTACTGCCTCTCAAAGTGGGATTCTCTTATGGTAGCGGCTGGTTTAGGTTACTATTGAAAGTCAAGTGTGTTCCACTTACTCATAGATACTGATGACTTTCCCCAGGAGGCAGAACATGGGAGAAAACATCCTCAAGAATGAATTGGCTAATTATGTTTCCTTGTTGTGGTCATATTATGTATATAGTATATTTATGTTGAGCCAATTACTATACATTTTTTTCTTTATTGATTTTTAGAGAGAGGAAGGGAGAGGGAGAAAGAGATAGAAACATTTATGAGGGAGAAGATCGATTGGCTGCCTCCTTCATGCCCCCCACGCTGGGGATTTGGCCCACAACCAGGGCATGTACCCTGACCAAGAATTGAACTGGCGACCTCTTGGTGCATGGATTGATGCTCAACCACTGAGCCACACCAGCTGGGCTAGAGCCAGTTATTGACACTCTCTTGTGGGGGCTTTGATTTCAGAGTGTTCATCCTGGTGCTGATCGGCATCAGCATCGCCTGGGTGCCCATTGTACAGTCAGCACAAAGTGGACAGCTCTTTGATTACATCCAGTCCATCACCAGTTACTTGGGACCACCCATTGCAGCTGTCTTCCTGCTCGCTATTTTCTGCAAGAGAGTCAACGAGCAGGTAGGTATCATTCACATACAGCCAGAAAAGGACACCTGGCACGGAAATCCTTACCTGGACTGGCCTGTTCTCTGTGGGAGGGATTCTGTTTCCCAGAGATCTCAAGCTGGAATGGATGTGTTGCTGAGGGTTTGTATGGGAATGCTTCCCGGGACCCTGGGGCTCTCATGGATGCACTGCTTTTGGACTCCACTCTCCTCCTTACTGCAGGTTCCAAACTAATTCCTAGCAAATGATGTCCATTTTCCATCCAGTCTTGATTTTCCTTCAACTACTTGGCACTCCTTGGGCAGTTTGTAACCCCTGGGCGAGCAGCTCCAGAGGAAGTCCTAGCACAGGCCCCCTCTGTGGTTCTGCAGTGAGCTTCACTTTTCAGCCAGCACTTATCGGAGCCCAGTGAAGGTGTACAAGCAGTTTATATGTAAAACAGTGTAAGGTAGATAACAACTGGGGTAAAACGTGGCACAAAATATCAGTAGGGAGGGATTTCTAGAAAGGCTGTGTCAACATGGGCTGAAACGGAGAGGGAAGAGAGGGCATTCAAGGTAGAAAGAACAACACCGCCCAGAACGTGGAGGTGGAAGGGGGAGGGCAGGGCGGAGGGTGAGCAACTTGTCAGGAATCTCACCTGGCTGGAGAGGGAGTGTGTGTGTGGATCATAGAAGGCACAGTTGGAGAGGCAGGTTAGGGTTAGGTTAGGCATGGTCTTTTTGAAAGCCCGGTCAAAGAGTTTGAGTTACCAGTGGGGTGCCTTTGCAGGTTTTCAAAAATTCTCACCCGAGGATATTTTTCCATTTTTGTTCAGATAGAGTGGGAGGGAGAGAAAGGAAGAGAGATAGAGATAGAGATAGATAGATTAGATAGATAGATAGATAGATAGATAGATAGATAGATAGATAGCAACATTGATGTTAGAGGGATACATTGAGTGGTTGCCTCCTGCACGACTCCTATCAGGGCCGGGGACCAATCACAACTGAGGTACATCCCCTTGATCAGAATCGAACCCACGACTCATTGGTCTGAGGGCTGATGCTCTAATCGCTGAGCCAAGTCGGCCGGGACTGCTTTTGCAGGTTTTGAAGCAGCATGGAAAGGATTCCTTTGGATACACCTTCTGACCAGGGTGTTTTTCAGCTGTCTCTGTCTAACCATCTACCTGTTTGGGGAGGGTTGGGAAGCGTTGGGGGTGCTGACTGAGTAGCTCATTGTCTGTAACAATGTAAACGATAGCTTATGTTGGGTTGGAGACAACCCCTTTCTCTCAGTAGGACAGAAACAAATGCATACCAGGGAAATACCTCACTGGACTCACCCAGCTTTGAGGTGCATCAAACACCACGCGTGTCTCTCTTTAGTCGACATTTGCCATTAGGGAGATAGTCCAGATTTGCCTGTGACACAAAACCGAGTGCACAGATTAAAGACCCCTGAGACATCAGAACTGGACCTGACAGTGATCTCGGCAAGTTAGAGAAGTGGGCACACAATGGGATGAGTCTCAGTAGGGATTGGCAGGGGCTGGTTCACTGGGCGAATTCTGAAATACAAGGTGGGAATATGTGGCTAGGAGCTCAGCAGGGCATTGTGGTGCGCCACAAGCAGATTCAGTTCAGCAATGAACCAGGGCTTTCAAAACATAAGGCTAGGAATTGGGATAGACTATCGAGGTTCCCAGCTGGGGGGGGGGATGATTCTGCCCTCCCCAAGGAACATTTGGCAATGTTGGGGAACATTTTTGATTGTTCTGATTTTGGGGGAAATGCTACTAGTATTGAGTGGCTGGAACCCAGGGATGCAGCTAAACATTCTATAATATGCAAGACAGCTCCCCTCCCCCAACAACGAATTATCCAGCCCAAATGTCACAGAGACAAGGGTGAGAAACCCTGACGGAAGATCTTCAGAGTAGCATGTGGAGACTGCAAAGTGATTCTCAGCACTGGCCAGGCACTGTGCTTGCTAAGGGGTGACTAAGTCTTGAGGAAAATGTCAAAGGCTACCAGGTTTTTCAAGTGCCCCTTGAGAATGAAGACACAGGGAATAGGGAGGGGCCAACTGCCAGAAGAGAAGGAAAGCCTTGTAAGTTTTATTGACACTAGTCACACAAAGCAAAGCCAAGAAATAATTGTTTTTGACCAAATAAATGTATGGGGCGTGAATGGGGCACATATTTTCCTTGTTCATTTATTCATCTAGCAGACACTTCCTGATGCCAGACGTGGGCCTAGGCACTAGCAACCCAAAGGGGAAGAAAACTGGTTCCTTCCCAGTCCAGAGAGGAGACGCAGACGCGAATGTGTGGTTACACAGCAGTGTGGTCAGTGCTGGCTGGAGGGGTGTCTGCAGTGTTGCAGCCACGGCAAGCAGGATGAGCCCACCCGTTCTGTCTGGGGAGGAGAGGGGGCATTTGAGCTAGAACAAGGTTACCAGGAAGGGAAGAGCCTGGGCTCTCCCAGGTAGAGGGAGTGACCTGTGCAAAGACCTGGGACATGAACATTACACAGCACGTTTAAGGAATAGCTGGTAATTTAATGCCCCCGGAATATAAAGTGTAGGGTACCAATGGCTAACAAAGGAGCTACTTAGAGTGACACTTGACAAAGTCATGAAGGCTCTTTTAGGCCAGTTTCCTATGAGCTCACTCCAATTCGTCACTGGTCCTTTTAAAATGTGGCCTCTAGATTCACACCTGGTCTTCTAGGAGAAGCCTGACAAGAAGGACAGAGAGAGAGAGAGAGAGAGAGAGAGAGAGAGAGAGAGAGAGAGAAAAGAAAAAATGAAGGAAAGAATGGGTTAAAAAAACCTGAAAAATCACTCCCAATGTTTCTAGCCTCTTAAAGACTCCCATATTTCTAATACACAAACCCAGAATTTAATGTAAAAAGACCTAGTATAATTGTTCTCAAATGAAAAACAGTGACTTTGAATTTATAAAAGGCGCTGATGGAAAAGTTCCTTTCTCCTCCATCCCCAAAAGACCCAATTGCCTTGTCCATGTCTTTGAGGAATGCAAATTATTTCACAAGTAATTATGTTATATCTACACGTGTCTTAATCTGGAGACTGATGGTAATAGTAGCTGCAAATAGAGAGATTCAAATTATTTTTAAAGTTAAAGGGAATTTTTTGGAAGTAAGTCTTTGGGTTGATATTCTAACCAGTTATTAGATACTTTACTCCATTATATTATGAATCCTTGTCTTAGGACCCAGGTAAAATCACATCATTAAAACACGATAAACATGGCACCCACTGACATAACACTCGTAGCCATATTCTGACCCCCAGTGTCCGGCTTCACAGGCCTGGAGCTACCATTTCTCTCACCTTTATTCTTTTGCCTCTGCCCCTCAGGAGTGCATAGCTCTTTTGTGTGTTCAGCATTTGGTAACCCAAGGTTTTCTTTCACAGGGAGCCTTTTGGGGATTGATCATAGGATTTCTGATTGGGGTGTCCCGAATGATTGCTGAGTTTGCTTATGGAACTGGGAGCTGCATGGAGCCTAGCCAGTGTCCCACGATTATCTGTGGTGTACACTATCTGTACTTTGCCATCATCCTGTTTGTCATTTCTATCATCATCATCTTGGTCGTCTCCCTCATCACCAAGCCCATTCCAGATGTGCACGTGAGTATCCACTTGGGAATCTGTCCTGTCGTTGTTTCATGTTCGGGCTGCAATACTCATCTTGGCTGCCCTCTGCTCAGTTAGACATCTCACACCCACGTGACTAAATAGTGCATCCTTGCCCTTGGAGCCCTGTGGCAGGAGACAGGATAGGAAGCTCAGTGTGCCGGCTGGGCAGTGTCAAGTGTGTGTCTTCAGCAGGTATGCTCAAGCACTCTACATTTCCATCTAGAGGTTATTCTCTGTATCATGCTCCCCAAGTGACAGCTCAGATGCAGGGGTATGTGGTCACATGGGCAGGTACAGGGGCTACCCTGGCTTAGAAGCTCATGTCCTAGGTAGGAACTTATATTTCTTGTAATGCTTCCATGGTCAGAACTTCCAGGGGTTGGTCCCAGCAAGGGACATACCTAGTTACAAAAATCACCACACTCAGGGAACTCTGAAGTATGATTTACCCTTTATTTTTTCCCAATTAAGTCTCTAAACAGTTGCCCATAGAATTCAAGAAATTTCAAACAATACCAAAGTCCAATAGATTCAAGCCTTCAGAAATGGCAAGTACTCTTCTTTAGCTCTAGATGTTGCCCTTAGTTTAGGGTATATCCACAGCCTTCCCAATGCAGGTGAAGATAACCAACTATAGGCCATTTTTACCATAATCAATATAGTCTGGTAACCTAATACAGCTGGCATCCTACCTTTTTCAAGTTTCCAAGGAACAGAGCAAGATCATATTTGTCCATAGAGAAAGACAGAGTTGTGTTAACCCATTACACATACATAAGTGCAGGGACTTAAAATATCCATAAGAGACTTTCAACCTCATTGCCAAATTCTCAAAGCTGTGAGCAACCTTGATGTTAAACAAAAACTGCTTTAATAGCAGCAGAACCACCGTATTTATTTGCTGAATCTGTCACCAGCATTCTGTGGTATTAATTCTTCCTGACATCTCAGTCTTTGGAAGTATTGCAGCCCAAACACATTTAAGCCTCTTGCGATACAGAAAAGTAAGGTAGTCACCAAAGAGGGCGTGGTTGGGATGAACAGACGGCACTGATTTTCAGACTTCTTCAAGTTTCTGGTTTCATGTCAGCAGAGTCTATGCCTTTAGTTCTTCCCTATTCTAAATGGATCATGATTCTGTAGATTCTCTCTCCATAATATGACAAACATATGATCTTATACTAGATGGGGTTCTAGTCTTGTGTCCCAGACCAGTGCTAAAAGGCACACATTCCTTTAACCTCAGAATATGCATATATCATAGGGGTTAGTATTCATATGAATATAATTTATATCTAAGTTCTTGACATATTTAGGTATAATGCTATGGATGGGAACTATTATCTATGTTCTTATTGGTACTGAGAGGCCATATTTCTTTTTTTTTTTTTTTTTAATCCTCACCCGAGGACATTTTTCCATTTTTTGTTCAGGTAGAGTGGGGGGGGGAGAGAGAGGAACAGAGAGAGAGAGAGAAACATCGACGTGAAAGGAACACATCGAGTGGCTGCCACCCGCACGACCGACCAGGGCCGGGGACAAACTGCAACCGAGGTACGTACCCTTAGCGGGAACCGAACCCGGGTCTCTCAGGACCGCAGGCCGACGCTCTAACCGCTGAGCCAAACCGGCCAGGGCTTTTTTTTTTTTTTAGAGGCCATATTTCTTTTTCTTTCTTGATGCATGTCTCTTTGTTCTCCCAACTTTTTGGCTCAAGACACTGTTTGGCTCTTTCTGCTAACCTGTTCTGCTTTTCCCACAGCTCTACCGCCTGTGCTGGAGCCTTCGCAACAGCAAAGAGGAGCGTATTGACCTGGACGCAGGGGAGGAGGACATCCAGGAGGCCCCAGAGGACACCATTGAAATAGGTGACTCATGATTCAGAGGCTATTCCTAAGCCATATAAAGTTACTCCTACAACAGCAAGACTATTTTACTGAAACCTTCACTAAATGCTTTCATCAAAGCTCAGATCTCTCTCCGAGAGGGGAGTGGGGAGGTATGAAATGAATAAGTAGGTTTTGGGATAGTCACTCAAAGCTTGGTCAAGGGAGGAGCGATGCACAGAATCATTCCAATTCCCTCACGCCTCATGGGTGACAGTGCTCAGTGATTAAGGGGAGGTGAGGAACTTGCCATCCTGACTTGATTTGGGGCATGGCCATGGACAAGGGAAGAGCACAGCTCTTTCGACACAGCCTGTGAACTGCAAGCAGATGGAATCAAAGCTATGGCTAGTCCTAATGATATCAGGGGGATGGGATCGAGGCTCAGGGATCTTATGTCTTACTGGTTTACCACATGAGATTGAGAAAATCAGATTTCTCGCCCTGGCCAGTTTGGCTCAGCGGTTAAAGCGTCGGCCTGCGGTCCGGAGAGACCCGGGTTTGGTTCCCGCTAAGGGCATGTACCTCGGTTGCAGTTTGTCCCCGGCCCTGGTTGGTCGTGTGGGTGGCAGCCACTCGATGTGTCCTTTTCACGTTGATGTTTCTCTCTCTCTCTCTCCCTCCTGCTCTATCTGAACAAAGAATGAAAAAGTGTCCTCGGGTAAGGATAAAAAAAAAAAAAAGAAAATCAGATTTCTCAAGAAGTCCAGTGAGATAATCCTTAGTCTGTGTCCAGAGACTCATCCTGTGCTAACACCACAGTCATGAAGATAATGATCTGATGTGATCTGATAATGTATTTTAATTATGAATACCTTACTGTAGTGTCATGTTTCATTTTGGCACCATACCATCCTTTTAAGACAGATAATGCAAGTATAATTCTTCCAATTTTACAGATGAGTAAAATGAGACATAGGGACTTTCTCAAGGGCACCCAACTTTTTTTTTTTTTTTTTCCATTTTTTTTTTGTTCAGGTAGAGTGGGAGGGAGAGAGAGGAACAGAGAGAGAGAGAAACATCGATGTGAAAGGGACACATCGAGTGGCTGCCACCCGCACGACTGACCAGAGCCGGGGACAAACTACAACCCAGGTACATGCCCTTAGCGGGAACCGAACCCGGGTCTCTCAGGACCGCAGGCCGACGCTCTAACCGCTGAGCCAAACCGGCCAGGGCAGGGCACCCAACTTTTTAATGGCCCAAGATTCAAGGCCACCCAACTTTTTAATGGCCCTGGGTTTCTCACCTAGGCTGGTCAGTGAGCCTTCCCCATTCTCGTTTGGGGAAGTGGACCAAAGTATAGGAGTACAAGGTGGCTTGTCTTTCTCATGTCTCTAATAGTGAAAAGAGAAACTGGAAGGAGAGCTACCATGTACTGGGTGCTCGCTCACTCAATCTTATAACAAAGAAGGCTTTATTTATCCAGTTTTACATACGAGAAGATGAGAGGTGAATTCACAAGGTCATAAACTGGGTTTTGGTCCCTGTTCTGAAACACATAGGAGCTTGATCACTACTCAGGGGAGTGGAGAGCAGCTGTCCCAGACCATGGTGCTGAAAACACAGAGGGCATCATTTCATATCTAGTGAGTTACAGACTTGACATTCTAACTCTGGTCTGTCTATCTCCAATGCCATACCTGGGCTCAGAGGAGAGAATTGGCTCCCTTGGTGGCATCCTCTTTGAATGGCAGGCCAGCTGGATGGTTTGATTCAGGAGTGTTGATATGCAACATCAGATTTTAAGCCCTGGAAGTGTTGATTGCTGCTGCCCTGTTCAGACCAATTCTTACTACATGGCTGAATCTCTGTGAAGCCTTGTAATTTCCAGGTGTAACCAATGAACTATCGAGTCATGAAATTCTCATTGCTTTTCAGTGATGTAACCAACAGATATATTTATATGTTTCAGAGGTGTCACAGCTCCCCAGTCATTCCAACATTTCTCTTCCATAAACTATCATTCCCTGTGTGCTTCTGATGGTTCAGAATCAACATGGATTTGCATTTGGTCTGACAGAGATGAAATGCATGAAAGCTGATCATAAGGACGTAGAATCCATCTATTAACATGATCTTGTAGTTAATTAAGTTCAAGTGAACATTTTGTACCATTTTCATTCCTGTGAATAAGAAAGTTAGGACGGCAGCTGCTCCATGGTATGGCACCCCCCTTGGAAACCTTTTTTAGTTCCTCCTGCCTCGATATCCAACAAATCTTTTATTCCTTTCCCCCAAACACAGAAGTTCCTGAGGAGAAAAAAGGATGCTGCAGGAAGGCCTATGACCTGTTCTGCGGTCTGGACCAGCAGAAGGGCCCCAAGATGACAAAGGAAGAGGAGGCAGCCATGAAGTTGAAGCTGACAGACACCTCGGAGAAGCCTTTGTGGAGGACGGTAACGAACATCAACGGCATCATTCTGCTGGCTGTGGCCGTCTTCTGCCACGCATTTTTTGCCTGAGTCCTGCCTTGTGCTGCAGACTGCTCTCCAAAAAGCCAGACTATTTACCCTGCCTCCCTTTAATCCCTTTCTGCAGTGTTGAAGGGAAAAAAGCCAGTTGTAAATTTTGCCCAGTTGATAAATGTGTACATGTGTGATTATAGACTAGCTGGATAAAAATAACGCATTTGCTGTTAACCAATGTATTTGAGGCCAGTGTGATACAGTCAGCTGTGTGTATTAGAGCAGCAGAAGAAAAGTTGGCTCATTCATGAAAATGCAGGCTGAGACACAGAAGCCCCAGAACATCTGTTGCAGGTTCATCTCAGGTAGACTCAGGGTGTCAACATTGTTTGTGACCCTTGAATATTATTTTCCAGAGTTGTGGCCTCCCTGGCTCCTGCTACTTTCCTTATCTGACCCCCCTCATCTGTTTTATTTTAAAGAAAAATTTCACTCCTCATCATATCCCTGTCAAGTGTTTTTTTTATTAGTATTTTTTTATTTTTGGCACAAGAAATATTAATCTGATAAACTGATGAATGCATTAAAGCCGAGGATAGGAGCTTCATGGTCGCTATCCTGGGTGTTTGCTCTTTGAAGAAGAGAACTGGGGCCTGAGAGTAATACTTATCCCAAAGCAGCACAAAGCCAGATGGAGATATTGCTATCACAAGATAGCCATTTTTGTAATTTTGGAAGGTCAGAGAAAAGAGAGCAAACCAACTACCACCAACAAGGCAATCTTTCAAAAGTAGTTAGTCAAGAATAGTGATACTGAGCAAACCATCAACAAATCTCAAGGCCAGTGGGGGAAAAAATAATCTCGAGTCAAGAGGATTTTCTGATCTTCTTAAAAATGTCATTGTTGGGGGGTAGGGGTGGGGATGGGGTGGGGGAGGAGGTCCTCATATTTGTAATTTCACTTGTTTTGGCATTCACTGTGCCTGGAATGTTGTAGCCATGGAGCAATGTTTGTGGACTGAATGAATAATATGGGCATTATTTATAAACACATGCTTTATGTTTGGTTAACCTTGTCCATGACTGCACAAAGCACAAACTGTAGAGACAATCATGACCTGGAATGCATTTCCCAGAGACCACCTTCCTCACAGCATGGATGTTGACATGTGGGCTTAGAAGTTGACTCTGTGTCACATCACAGAGCAAAGTGCCTCTTGGGGGAAACTGTCATCTCCAAAATCTCTAGAAAACATGAGGTGAGTAGTTCTACTTTCCTGTTAGAACAGACTGAGCCACTTGGGTAACCAGGGACCAGTAAATGACAAACTGTACTAGAATACTTTCAGGGTATAGGGAAGAGCTATTTTTTTTAAAGTTTTTTTTCTTTATTAATTTTTATGGAGAGAGGAAGGAAGAGGAGGAGAGAGAGAGACACACATTGATGAAAGAGAGGAAGGGAGAGGGAGAGAGAGAGAGAAAAATCGATGAGAGAGAACATCGCTTGGCCGCCTCCTGCATGCCCCCCACTGGGGATCGGGCCCACAACCTGGGCATGTGCTCTCACCAGGAATTGAACCGGCAACCTCTCGGTGCATGGGTTGATGCTCAACCACTGAGCTACAAGGTCCGGGTGGGGAGAGTATTCTCTTCTTCAAGTGGAAGAGGGGTGTTATGGGGCAGAGTGATGGCTTATTAATGCTCAGTCTGAAAAAACCATGCCCTATCAAGCAAAACAAGCTTCTTTAAATATGGGATGACTCACACAATGAAAAGACAGACCCCCTACCCTGCAAAGTAAAGTTGGCCCTGAGGCCTTTGACCTACTTGGGAGTGTGGACCCTTGTGTAGCTGAGCCAGGCACTGGTGTTTCCTTAGAGAAACCTCTGCCTTCGGAGCTCAGTGGAACCCACTCTGATGACGCTGGTCACCATTCCCTAGAAGATGCACCGCGGCCCGTCCTGCGTCACAAAAGCAAACCTCGGGAGCAAAACACATATGTGCTTAGGTGGAGGAGAGAGGTTTCTTAACATCACCCCCTCCCAAGGAAACTCCTTCTAACCTCTTGGATACAGGTAAATGGGACTGTCTGAGGTCGCATTGCCTTTTGGGCTGGTGGGGATGGGACGAGGGAGAGGTGGCTGAGGTGGGCAGCTGGGACTGTTCTGAGATACACTAAAGTGTACACTTTATTATTTATTTATTTATTTTACTTTATTTATTGGGGTGACATCGGTTGATACAACCATACAGGTTTCATGTGTACAGCTCAATAAAATATCATTTGCACCGCACTGCATCATGTGCCCATTCCCCAAAGTAAAGTCTCTTTCTGTCCCCATTTATTCCCTTTGCCCAATTCTACCTCTGCCCTCCCCCTTTCCCTCCGGCTATCACCCTACTGTTGTCCGTGTCTATGTGTGATGTGTGCGTGTGTGTGTGTGTACATATATATATATATATGTTTTTTTTTTTTTGCTTAACCTGTTCACCTTTTTTCATCCAATGCCCCAACCCCCTCCCTTCTGACTGTGGTCAGTCTGTTTGCTGTATCTATGAGTTTGTTTGAACTGTACACTTTAATTAGGTGCATTTTGCCCAGGCGGTGTGGCTCAGTGGATTGAGCATTGTCACATAGATTAAGAGGTCCTGGTTTGATTCCTCGTCAGGGCACATGCCCAGGTTGTGGGCTCAATCCCCAGTAGGGGGCGTGCAGGAGGCAGCCGATCCATGTTTCTCTCTCACATCGATGTTTGTATCTCTCTCTTCCTTACTTCCTCTCTAAAATATCAATAAAACATATTTTAAAAATTTAAATAGATGATTTTATGATATGTGAATTATATTTTAATAAAGTGTTTTGAGAAAATCAACGGCTTGATATGCTAACTTTTAGTGGGGGATGACTTTCTTTAAGGCAGAAGCTAATAATATCTAATAAGTTCATAAAAGTATTCGCAACAGGCATTTCCAGCTCACTTCCTCTCAACTATTAAGAAATATTTCTATTTTTTCAAATCCTTTAGATTAGTGAGGTGAAGATGGGAGGGAAATGTCGCTCTTTGTTTAGATGAGGGGGTCAGGAGGTGATGCAGAGTAGGGAGAGGCGTTCCTTCTAAGTGGAAATCTCCGGAAATGGAAGCAAGCAAGTGTAACACAGGGCAATCTATAAAAAAAGAGAATTTATGCCCTGGCCAGTTTGGCTCAGCGGTTAGAGTGTTGGCCTGTGTACCAAAAAGTCTCAGGTTCGGTTCCGGTCAAGGGCACGTACATGGGTTGCAGGTTCAATCCCCAGCCTCGGTCGGGGTTGTGCGGGAGGCAACCAATTGATGCGTCTCTCTCACGTTGATGTTTCTCTCTTCCTCCCTCTCTCCCTCCTTTCACTCTGTGTAAAAACTCAGTGGGAAAGTATCCTTGGAGTGAGAATTAACAACAACAACAACAAAAAGTATTTAGACCCAAACTCTCCTAGTTTACACATGCCTGTGGAGGCAGCTCACTGGCTTTCTGAATTACCAACTCTTTCTCTTTCTCTTTATTTATTGATACAAAAGAACAGCAAAAGCTAAAAGCCAGGTCTATAGTCACACCGTTGGATAAAATTACCAACTGCTTATCTCCCTTTTGTAACACAACAAACTCTAATGATGAAAAATCAGTAATATCCTCTGCTTAATAAATATTCCAGCGGCTCAGGTGGAGTTCAGGCAAAATAACCGTGGACAAAGACTGCCACCGTCAGGAGCAGGATGGCATTGATGTTCACTACAGTCCTCCAAAAGGGCTTCTCGGACGTGTCTGTCAGCTTCTTCCTTTGGGCTTCTTGCTCCTCTTTGCTCAGCCTGGGTCCTTTCTTCGGCAAACCACAAAATGCGTCATAAGCTTTCCCAAGACATCCACGAGTTTCCTCAGAATTATCTGAATCACAGAAAGATAAACGAATGATCACAAAACACGGAAAATCGAACTCCTGTCAAGGTCGTACAATGTCAGCAAGGAATGGTTACAACTCCTCTGTGGTAGAGGAATAGCCCCGGGAAAACACAGATAACTTCGGTTCTATAAAAACAGAAAATGTTTGCGTAGCGTAGAGTCCAACAAAGGAAAACAAGGGACAAGCTGGGGGGAAACATTGGCATCTTATATCACACAGGGGCTGCTATCCTTAGTATTAATGAGTTTCTTGAAATAGAGAAAATCCTGCAAACAGTTCCATAGAAACCTAGTAGAGACATGAATAAACGGTTCAAAGAAGAACAGGTAGTTCTTACACCAGATGTAAACCAGATATTACCTTCATCAACATCATCATCAGCTTCTTCCTGTCTCTTCTCTTCTGCATCTAAATCGATTCGTTCCTCTGTCCTGTTCCGAAGAGCCCAGCACAGGCGATACAACTGCCCAGAGGCCACAGACAAGCACATCAGTGAGGAGCAGAGGTTTACAACGCCGATACAATGGTACATTTATGGTGCGGTGCAAAAAAGTCAACCAGCGCAGGAAAATATAGATAGCAATGAAAAGGTCGTCAACCCCACTCATTCACAATAACACACTATTTTAAATTATTTTTGTTTTTAATTCTTCTGGTACTTATTCAACTCTCTTAGTTAATACGTTTAAAACTCCTACTGCTGGATTTATCATTTCATGAAAGTCAAAGATTTATCTACCTTTATACACTACACCCTGGCTTCACTCTCTGTCATATCACTCAACTTTTGTTAGTTTGTCTGGTGGTTACTTTTAAAGTTCTCCTTAAGTTCCATTCCTGGATCCATCATGGTTAGATAGTGTCAAGGTACTGTTCTTGAGCTCCGAAAGGAATTTATACCCTTACACATCTGTTTTCCAGACCACATCCAAACTTCTGTCAACTTTATCATTACTTTAAAACTGTTGAGCTCTATAGAATTTTAATTGTTTTCTGCAATTATAACTAAGATTTCCATGTTTTGTCTATATGTTGAATTAAAAACTTGAAAATAAATAGCATTTATGTTATTATGCCACATTTTTGTGTGCCATCGATCCAAGACCTGTGATTGGACACAATA